TCCATCATTATTTGCTGGGAGCCAAATCGGGGCGGCCATCGGGACGAAACACAGTGCCAGCGGTGCCTGAACTTTGGACACGGTACCCGCAACTGTAACATCAAGTCACACTGCAGCAACTGCACTCAAGAACACGTCACTTCCAACTGCGCTGCGGATGGAGCTGTGGCGTTAAAATGCACCAACTTTGGTGGTGCTCATCAAGGTTCCGACAGGCAGTGCTCCAAACGTGAGGACTTCAAACGCATCCGAAAGCAGGTATCAACCAACAACTGTTGCTGCTAGGGTGGGATACCTAAAGGGTAACCAGACAAACACCTCGGCGGACTTGGCTAAGCAACGGCCTACCAGTGGGTGGGTCATCCAACGACCTCTTTTGATGGGTAGCTCGATTTGGAGAACTATACTTAGTTTCAATGTCGGCTGGTGTAGATTTGCTGGACTAATCAGGACTCGGATAGTGTGGTATGATTGAATAAAAAGCTAATGATTGACATTCGCATTCCTTAATTCCCTAAATTTTACATGCTGTGTGCATGTGTGTGATGTGTAGTGTATTCGTTCAAAATATACCTGGCCGGCCGGCAACTGCTGAACAACGCTGGGTGGTAGTAGCGGTGATGGTCTCGAAGATGATGGCTAGCTTGATGGCGGGAAACGTGGTTGTGATTGGGCTCGAGAAAGACGATGATTACCGTGGTGATTGGGTGCCGGTGAGGGTGCCGATGATGCTGTCAACCGCCGACAATTGTCGGTGATGATCCGTGGCGTGAGTAGATTCCAGTTGCTCACTACTATGGCACCGGTAAACCGATTGGTGACGAAACTGGGTCCGTGGGTATGACTAGGCAATCCCCTGGTTAGTGCAACGAGGACCAGCCCAGATCTCTCTTCCTGAACCTCGTGGGAGAACGAAGTTGGCTCTTCAAAGGACAAAACGGTTCCAGACCGCTTATTCGGAGCCTTCCCTGAAGGTCGTTTCCGGTTTATGATTCACGGGTCCTGATCCTCTTCTTTTCACACTCTAATTATGTTTAATTTACTTCCTCACTTCTATTTTCTGAAATTTCCAACTTTATCTGGTTTTTCTTTAATTTTCACAAACTATTAACATTTAATCCGCTTCTACTCTCTTCTCTGGTTACTTGGCAAGTCAAAGAGTACTCCCTTTGCTAATTACTTATCCCTTTCCTGTTGGTCTTCTCTTGTCCTTTTCTTCTAGTTTATCCACTGAACTATTACTTCAACTCAGATTCCAGTAGTTGGTAGTGTATTGTGTACTAAACCTAGGGGTATATTTATTGGCAATTCTAGTTATTCAAATTTGAACAAGGACATGCAGAAAACATATAGCTAACTATAGTACAAAAAAGAAAAATGTTACAAACGGTAACAGAACCAACCAGGAAGGAGAAAGGAAAAGGTTCCAGCCAACATTCATCTCACCGGCGGGCAACCCATCGACGCTAGACATGTTCCTGACAAATACTGGCTTGTTCAAGCCGGTAGCCTTGAACGAACTCCCCAACAAACAATTGACTATTGAAGAAACGACTTCTTGACGATTTTATTCAACTTCATGCTTAATAATACTTGTACTATTTTTAATAATAACTTCTGTTCAGGCTTTGTTCACACAAATCTGGAAAATTTATTCAACCACAACATCGAAATATTTGGTGTTGAATAAGGTATGTCGAGAAGCTTTTATACGACTTACAAAAGTTGTAACAGAGGCTTACTCGATCAAATTTTTGATTATTCAGCGTTTATTAGACATCATTACTTCCTTAAACACCGATGATAAAGGTGTATATAGACGCTTGATTCTCATGTGAAATAATGTTTAATTAGACACTATTATACATTTATTAAACTATTATTCAACTACGGGATAATTAATCCGAAAATAAGAACGCGGCAGAGCAGGGTTTTGTTTCTCTCTCGTTAGTGATTGTTGTGTCATTACTTCTGTTGAAGCACGCACATAACCTAGAAAATTTATTACATTCACACATGTCCGTTGGATGGGATTCGAACCATGACCTTTCGATTACCAGCCGCTTGCCTTGCCATCTGAGCTATCCTAGAATACATCAAAAGGGCAGCTAAATAAGTATTAAAGGTTTAAATTTGAAAACCTATCAGCACTCCCATTCGTAACTCTAGCTAATTGTGAGAATGATGAATTCATTCATAGTTGTTTAACATGAGACCAACGTTACCTCTCCATCTCTCTAATTTCGATGGAAAGGATGCTATTCTTTTCAATACATCTATGAATTGGTTGTCGTAAGTGATACGATCTATGATTACGATTTAAATTAATTAGGCGTAGAAAATAAATAAAAAAAGGGTTGAGGTTGGGATTGAACTCGCGACCTTCAACTTGGAAAGCGGAAACGGTAACCACTATGCTACCAATTTCGTTTTGTTGTTAGCCTGAAGCAGTGTTGTGGAATAATGAATGAATACGCCGTTTGTAAAGCATTTACAAAGCATGAAATTATAACATGGACGCATAGTGGTATAAGAGCTATTTTGCTGACTGTATTCACCTTTATACAGCAATATTGTAAAGCAATGCAATGGAATCTAATAATGGAGCTAAAAAACAGTCATAAGACGTCTAATAAAGCATTTTATTAAATCAATTGAAAACAGTCGAATTAAAGCGACAATGTATGCGCAAATTACACTTATTCAGTTTGTTATTAGATCAAACCTCTGGTTCTGAATCAGATAGACAGTCAACGTCTATAAAGCTTTTAATAAGTAAATTAATCATATCAGAGCAAACGGCGGAATAAAGGCGCATCTATCGATCTCAATAAGCTTTTTTCAGCACATAATTCAACATCCTTTTTTATTCAGCATTGTACACTGTTATACAGAATTTATTCAATGTGTATGCTTATTTGTGACTTTGAATTGTTTATTGGGTCAGCTCCGCCCACCAACCAGTGGTGGCTGAACTGGGCTGCAACGTTGCCCCTGCTCCAAGTCTGCGCAAGGACTACCATCGCGTAAACTGGGCCCAGTTTGGACGCGTGGTAGACAAGCACATCATCGGCAATTCGCCGCTTGACACCGTGGAGGACATCCGAGCGCCAACTCTTGATTCGCCTGAGAAATATTCGTAGACGCCAGTTCCAAAAAAAACCGGAGATCTAGCAAGGAAATATGAAATGGCCGATGGTCTCACTCCGAAACGAAAGTCTGTATTTTATCCCTTTTCTGACGATGATCTCAACAACCCCCCCCCCCCCCTCCCTCACTCCGTGGTACGATCAAGCCGAATGATGTTGTGGTCCGGTAACCAGCAACTGTCGCCGGACTTTAGGTGGGCCTCGGTGAGGAGGCTAACGTCGAAGGTATGCTTGCGAAGGAAGTCCGCAAGCTCGATGGTTTTTGCTCTTAAGGAGCAAGCGTTCCAGGTGACGATATTTACCGGTTTAGACGCCATACTGGATGATAAACTAACCGAGTACTTGGATCTGCTCGGGTTTTTTGCAGCACTTACGAAGAGCACCGGTCATGTTGACGGAAATTTCCATCAGTTTATCCGCTGACAACATATCGGGGTGGTTGTTTGTCTTCAGAATCCAGGGGGTGGAGAGCTTTGTTCAGCAGAAGATCCAGACTTTTCTTAAGGGGGAGCGGATCGCATCCGTGAATTCGCTTGTCTATGAAGAGGCAGAAAGTCTTCCGGCCCTGAAAGCTGGGGCCTTTATTCTTCCTACGTCCTGGTTGATTGTTGACGGACGCCTGTTTTCGGATGCGCTTGAAACCCTCGCGTTTGAAGCACTGCTTGTCGGATCCTTGGTGAGCCCCACCACAGTTGGCGCATTAGGATGCCACAGCTTCATCCGCAGCACATTCGGAGGTGGCATGGTCTTGGCTTAATGTTTTAGTTGCGCGTACCGTGTCCGAAGTTCAGACACCGTTGGCACTGAGTCACATCACGATGGCCGCCACGGTATCGCTCCCAGCTGGCGATGATGGAATTGATTGAGCGGATGGCTTTCAGCGCGTTGAGTGTCACCGGTCCCTTCTGAAAGTGTACCAAGAAAAGGCAATCCGGATATGCCTTCACATTCTCGTCCCTCCTTGTCATCCGATAGCTTGTACCGGTCCTTGATTTCAGCTTCGATAAACTTCGGTAGGTCCCTGATGACGATCTTAAATGGTTTCTCACCGGGAATGTCGTGGGTAAAGAATTCTACCTTGGAAGTTATACCAAGTCATACTCCGCTTTCGTACGGAGCTGACTCTGCCCAACTAGAATTCGGCCTTAACGCCCAGTGACGCTAGATCCGCTATGAGCACTGGAGGTAGCTTCACTTTTACCGCGCTGATATCGGAAGCATTGTAATTTTCGGCAGCGTCACCGAAATCTCCGATATTGCTGACGTTCAACGCAGTGCCATCGATGTTGATATAGCCGAGCTTCCTTCACCGGGCTTCGCGAGTGATGCTTCCCCATTTCGGGGCACACGCACAGAAACACCGCGAAAGAGAGAACGCGAACAATATCGCAACGAACATTCCGAACAACTCTAGAGAGCGAGCTAAAACCGAACTGAACTGCTTGACGGTCAAGCAGAGAATGCGCGAAAATCAAGATCAGTGATAATAAATTTATAAGCATGTCTCCCAAGTGGAACAAACTGACCAAATCCAGTCTTAATCGATGTCCAATGGGGTGGCTTCACACATTCTGCATGTTTTCGAAATTAAGACAAATCATCAAAACGAATGAAGAGATTCAAACAAAAAAAATATTAAAAGATGAAAGCCAATCATCAGCCATGAATAGGCAAATTATTGAGAAATTCAAAGTCGCAGCAGAGATAATCTGGGTGAAAAAATACAGCAACTCCTCCATACAATGCAAACATAGATTGCTCCGGTATTTATTTCTTAAATTCTCTGGAGTGGGCCAGTTTTAGGTCTGGGGATGCCAATTAAGAATAAAAGTGAGGTAGTGACTAGAAAGTTCTCAGGTAAAAACTATGGAAGTACCTATTCAAAAACACTAAGATGAGATAAGATGTTAAATTCAGATCGTGACATCAGGAAAAATGTACGCGTGTTCGAATACTATAGTTAATAATTCAAAATTTGAATAAGGCTTATTTTATTGAACCATTGCGTAACACAAACGTACATTAATAGGATTACGATTTCATATTCGCGGATATCCAATCCATATAGTAAGCAACTTTGGTGTATATCGAAGGGACAGCGCCACACCCGGATCCAAACGATACAATTCCGAACTGTATGAAGCGCATTCCATTGTACGGAGCACTGTAGCCTAATGGTCCTCCACTATCTCCAAGGCACGCATCCGGTCCATCTGTCTGCTTCACGCAAAGTTGCCTCTGATCTCGCTTCCTAAAAACCGGATGTATCCAACTCCGGCAGAAGTATGGTTTAGCAGAGGTAACGAAAGTCTTAAGTAACTGCATTGACTTTCGTTCCAGTTCTGTATCGCCCCAACCCGTGATAATGTACTTTTGAGGATTTAATTTCTTCAAGAAATCGGTGACCGGTAAACAGATTGGTTGAATATGATCTACAACGGCAAGTGAAAAAGTATCAGATTAGAATTCTCGGACTTGTTGCACAACTTTATGTACCTTCGAATTGAACGTTCCTGTCCAGCCGAATCAGAGCGATGGTATGTGATATCGTTCCGGGAGTGTAGCTCTGGTGTCGTATAATACATTCAATTCGATAGTCGCGAACAGGTGGAGCACAATCGCTGTTATCATCTAGTCCATTGCAATCCCTATCCTGTCCAATGGTATGCTCTCCCAATCGAACTTTAATCCTGTAATTCATTTGTCAAGCAGAAGTTCATTGACAACAAAACAAAGGAAAAGGCCGCTTACGGTTCGATATACGCCCATGTACAACGGGTAGATGTGAGAACGTAACGTTTACTGATCAGAGTTCCAGCGCATACCCTATGCGGTGTCCTATACAGGATCAGTGCCATCCAGGGAAATTCAAAAACATCCGTTCGATTCCCTTTTATGATCCGATTTGTTAGGTAGACGCCACAATTACGAGGCAATAATGTGTTTGTATAAGTCTTCGATGGATCGACGTCCGACGGTTCACAACTGTCAAGTTCAGGACCTAAAATTGAAAGGGAAAACGAGTTGAAGCTGAACTATGACGGTATATATTTAAACTTACGTAAATCATCTGCTGTCAATGCTTCTTCGTCTTTGAGAAACTTCAGTTTAGTAACTGATGAAATCCAAGGCAAATATGTATACACCTTGGTAAATGCTCCGTAGCTTTTGGGATCGCAGAGATTGCTGCCATCACGTGGTTTCGAATAGGATACAATTCCTCCCAAGTACCAGGCGTTATCTACATTGAAAAATAATCCACCACCACTATCCCCGTTGCACACGCTGGTACCGTTCGTATAGCCAGCGCAGAATATCCCTTCGTCCAAAGTGTTTCCAAACACTTTCCGGTTACTTTTGAGACAAGTTACAGCATCCACTACAGGTATCTGAGTGCTTTTCAAAATTCGGGAAATATCATCATTCTCTGCCACTCCCCAACCAATCACTGTTCCATATTGATTGGTGAGATCTTTCGATAGACTCAAACAAGCCGGTTGCACGAAATCATCCAACACAACCAACGTGCTCAATTCCAGTATAGCAATGTCATTCCTGAAGTCATCACCGGTAGAGTTGATAGGTTTGTAAATCTTATGGATTTCATGCTGCTGGAAGGATTTTCTATTCAATAAATCCAAATTGTGAACACCCAGTCGAACGAAGATGCGGTGATTCACTAATTGCTGTCTATTATCTGGATCGAAAACGCAGTGTGCTGCCGTCAAAACGAATTGTTCACTGATAAGCGTTCCACCGCAGGCGTAGCTATCCGAGCGACGATTTCTGTGGTAGATCGCTGCATGCCAGGGCCATGCACCTGCTATAGTATCGTGGCCCTGTACTATTAGCTCGGATCTGCTAATCTGCGGTATTCCACACTGGAACGGATCTTGTTGGAGGGTATCTTTCGTACTCAGAAGGATAATAACAATTAACACTATAAAATTGAATACGTTTTTCCGAAATATTATAATTGGTATCATTTTTCAGACAAGGTTTTTTAAACATAAATCAACGCAAGTGAATTTCAGTAAAAAAAACAAGATCACCATCCACTTGTGTTACGTTGGTGAACATCACTAAACAAGTTGTACGATCTTGTGTATTGCTATTCACCGGGTTTTCTTCTTCTTTTCGTCAAACCAGTTTCTGATGTGAACTGATGTGACCGTTATTTGATTGTAGTGGCATGCTCGTTTGTACCTATGTGTTGCTTCCTATTTGAATGCAGGGGGGATTTTTCGTTCTCAATACTAGTGATAAGCCGGTTTAATTCCATTCATTTTGTATAAAAAATGTGTTATGGTATTCTGGAATCATAAGATGTTATAATTATATTTTGCATTTGTATGCTATCTGTTAAAACATGCCAATTTTGCTTTCAAAAAGTCACAATCAGTGATTTTCTGATCGCTGTTCGCGAAGACTGAAAAATAAAGAATGGGTTAGTCAACCTCTTCATGTTACTTACAAGTAAACCTAGTGATAATTAGTCAAAGCAAAGTGGAAGGTCGATTAATTGAAAACCAACTGTATGAAAATCTGAACTCAATATTACGGATTAGATTGGAGTGACCTGTGCGCCGATCAAAATATTTTCGGCGGCGGCGTGATATGTTATTTTCTGCCGGCGGCGGCGGCGTGGCGGCGTCACGCCGTTTGCTTTCGGCGGCGGCGGCGTGGCGGCGTGGGTCGGCGTGAGTGTATTTTTAATGATTTAGAAAAAAAAATACTTTTCAAACTAATCCCACATGTACAAAAAATGCTACTCACATTTGAGTTCAGATTACTCAAAATCGCTAAAACGTGGGTCACTCATAGTGTGAATAAATTTTGCGACACTTTCCCGGGAAAAAGTTCTTGAATATATGGAAAATTTAAGAAAAATTTTACCCACGTTTAGAAGTGCACTAGTGGAACGACTACAACCACATTCAGTTTTCCTCATATTCGAGAACTTTTCCACGGAAAAGCGTCGGAAAATTTACTCATTCTATGGGTGAGCTACGTTTTCGCGAATTTGAGTAACCTGAACTCAAATATGAGTAACTCTTACTTAATTTTGAGCCGTTCTCATTGGCCGTGCATTCAGAATTTGTTTAGAAAAGTAAGTCAAGTGCTTATTTACATTTGCAGGGGGTTGAGTCGTATAGCAAAGTGTAAGCAACCTTTTTATTAAGTATAAGAAAAGTACGTTATGTAGAGGTGAATAGTATTGAAAAGTAATCTTTTATCATTTATTGAGCATTACACGTTATTTATATGTTGATAGTGATAAATAATGTGCTTTTATTACTCTGATGCATATTTGAATGTACGCGCATTGTAGTCATATAACTTGTGTTTATGTAATTGAAGATGAAGTCTTTCGGATATACGTAGAATCCCGCACAACTTGGACCTGTTAGAGATTAAAAAAATATCAAATTTCAGCGTGTTGTTAATAATAATCCCTTATTCACCTTTATGTAAATCCGATTTACTGACGAGGATCGAGTGCCAGTGATTATTGCACAATTCTATTTTTGCAAATGCTGTAATTGTCATGAATTAAGAATGTTTTATCCACATTCTTATGGTGGATGGCTGACCGACGTGCAGATACGGTCGGCCCAGCTATGTTAAAAACTCGTTCACTTGGTGTGCACACACAATACCTTTCGCGAGACCTTGCGAACCAAGGCTGCCAAGCTTTCTAATTTTCCAAAAGCAGAGAATAAAGGGTGATACGGTCAAAATTTGGTCAAGGGAAAACGCGTGTAAATCGGTGAAATCGTTTATTTAAAAAATCAAATTAAATTTCTTTTTCAAGTTCAATTAGTATAAAATTCAGGAAAAATATTCAGTTAGGCTTCCGCTTTTCCAAATCCGAATTGCCGGGCCTTACGCTTGACCCCTGCCATCAGATTTTGTACAGCCACCTTGTCCACCTTCTTCGCCGCAGAAAGCCAGTTTGCCTTGAACTGCTGCTCGCCCTTAGCAGTTTTTTTGGTCTTCTTTAGGTTCCGCTTGACAATAGCCCAGTATTTCTCAATTGGGCGGAGCTCTGGCGTGTTGGGAGGGTTCTTGTCCTTGGGAACCACCTGCACGTTGTTGGCGGCGTACCACTCCATGGGTTGACAGTCCCGGAAGCTATGAAAATGCTGCTTTTCAAGCCACAGGTACAGATGGCTTGCCAAACCAGATATTTCTTTGCGAACTTTGACAGTTTCATGTGCTTGAAAACATCTGCTACCTTTCCCCTTCCTTTTGCCGTATAAAACTCCTGTCCCGGAAGCTGCTTGTAGTCGGCTTTGACGTAGGTTTCGTCGTCCATTACCACGCAGTCAAACTTCGTCAGCATCGTCGTGTACAGCCTCCGGGATCGCGCTTTGGCCGTCGTATTTTGTTTATCATCGCGATTTGGAGTCACTACCTTCTTGTAAGTCGATAGTCCGGCTCGTTTTTTGGCTCGATGCACGGTTGTAGACGATACACCCAGCTTATTTGCGGCATCTCGGAGAGAGAGGTTAGGGTTTCGCTTGAAACTACCGGCAACTCTCTTTGTCGTCTCAGCGGCTTCCGGTTTTCGATTTCCCCCCGATCCAGACTTCCTGGCTGTCGACAAACGTTTCCCAAACACTTTAATTACATTTGTAACTTTTAGCGATTTTGCCAACTTTGCGTGCGAGTAGCTCGGATTTTCGCGATGCGCGAGCAAAATTTTGATACGCTGCTCTTCTTGCTTGGACGGCATTTTGACAACTGAAGAGTGAATTCCAAAATCAAAATAGGAGCAACATTCTACACACACACACCTTCAAAATGAGGGGTGTTCAGGTTTTTTAAATGCAAAATTGAAAGAAATACGTCAAGTTGATATTGACCAAATTTTGACCGTATCACCCTTTATCTCCATCTACAACGTTGTTAGGGTATGACGTAGCCAAAAATGCGGTGCACTCTTTCTCGATGACAGAGGTCACACTATCTTCAACGTTTGAGTGCTTCATAGCAAGACTGAGCAACGAGGAAGATGAGTTAGAAGGAAGTTCATCGCATTCATCTGATTAGAAACCCATTTGAATATTCGTTTTTTAATGATGTCCGTACAATAAATTCATATCATATAGTACGTACAAGAAATTGGTAATCGAGCGTTCATCCAAAGCACTTTTAAAGCATTTCAGGTTCATAAATCGAGGGTCAAGTAAAGTCGAAATCAAAATTAGGTCCTTTACAGGAAACTTTCGATTCAGATGCTCCTTCATCCCCAGATTCATGTGTGTCATGGCAAGCAAGTCCTCATTTTATTCACTGATACAAGCTTCAATCTCAGATCGCAAGAGCATGGCAATATTAACTGTTGCATTCTTTTCAGCAGACAACAGGGTTACTATAATCTGTAATCCAAAACGGAATTTTACTACAATCTTTTCACCACCATTATGTCACCATGTTTTAGAAACAGACTAGATTAAAATCACATTGGAACTAAAATGAAACTTTTCACACTAGACGTTCGCTACGTGATCGACTTTTAACTGGTACGTTTTTAACTTGTCCGCTGACTGAGACAATTTTTCAGTTGAAGTGTACATTTTCTTCCAAAATGATGCAATTTCAAAACGTCAAGATTAACTGGATGAACACTGATGCTTTTTAAATGCATCTCAGTTAGTGAATTCCGTTCGTTAGGTGAAAATCAAACATTATTTTCTCAGCTATCGAATGGCTAGTGTGTCAGTAAACGAACATCTGATCTTCAATGCACTGGTTGGATATTAATTTTCAAACCCTATATGGTCACCAATCGGTCAGATGGAACTTATTAGTAGGCTTAGTTACTAGAGATATAGCAACAATAGTTTACAATTATAGTTTCAGAACCACAACTTAAAAAAACTCACCTCAAACGGCTCAAGAAAGTTTCGGAAGTATTCAACTAGCGCCCACTCATGTGCTGTGAATATGAGATCGTGAGACGGTTCAATACAGCATTCACGCCAGCTCTATTTAGTTCGAGACTTTTCATCATCTTACGTAAGTAATGCTAACGTGTTACGCTGATTGTTATAAGTGTTGGGGCTTATTTAGGTCCTTGACGGAACATTGACATTCATTTCACACAAACTCGGAAGTTGAGCATTTAGCTCCTCCTCCATACTAGATAACGGGTTTTGCCCATCCATATCAAGTCAATCTCCATCTCTTAAGATGTGTCTGTTTATTTTATCCATTTCGACTTACAATTCCGGACCTCGGTATCACCCGGTTTCTTCTTAGCCTCTGACATGCATTACAAGCAGATCACTTTCTCCTTCAATATATGTATTTTCACGTCACTCTTTCCACGTTTCACTTTAAAGGTTTTTTCCTCTCGAAGTATCAATCGACAGAAAATTCAAGGGAATTTTATTTAAATTCAAATTCGACATCGCTGAAGTCGTCGTGAATGGAAACAAAACCTCCAAAAATCAAATGCGTAAAGACGAGACCGATGCGCAGGATCTATAGGTGAGGCAGAAGGAACCGCTAGTCGACTGTTTCATTCATCCGGTGTTCTCGTCGGATCGAGAGAAAGAAAGAGTCGGCTAGTTTCCTTCTGCCTCACCTGTAGATCTGGCCGTTCTTGCTCATCGAGACGAAACCAGTGAACTGAGATTTTTGACGTTTGATCAGCGCACCAAAACGCAATCTCGAACAAGCACGAGCAGGAGGACAAAGAGGATTCATCCCTGTGTGCCAGATAGAGCAAGTGCGAACAAACGTCAAAAAACTAATAGCGAATTCGTTTATTATTCAGTTCCAATCTCATCTCACTGCGTCCTAGCAAGAAGTACGGTCGACTTGTTTCGCGCTCCGTTGTTTTGGAAGTTTTCTCGGTATTCGCTTGATATAAATTATCAGTTTTTTTCTCACTAAGTGACTCCTGGCATAGTTCCCGGTAAATTGATCGAAAACTGAGTTTTTTTTAGTAGAAAGTTTCATTTTCGGATCGATTAATCCGTGCTATTGGTAATTCGCAAACCAATTTGGGCATCATCGTTGCGTGGTCACGCAT